TTTCATTTTTTTTCCTTTTCAATTTTAAAAAATCTCTTTCTTTTCTTTTTCGTCTATTTCTTTCTTTCTTTCTTCTTCTTCTTCTTCTCGTTTGCTGTTTTCTCGGGTCATTTCATTTCCATTTCTTCCTTTTTTTATTTTTTATTTTTCTATTTTTTTCTCTCTTTATTTTCTTCTTCGTCTATTTTGTTCTTCTTCGACTTCTCGTTCACTGTGTCCTCGGGTCATTTCATTTCCATTTCTTCTTCTTTTCTTTGTTCTATTTCAGATTATTTAAATATTTTTCTTTCTTTTCCTCCTTGTCTATTTCTGATTTCTTTTTCTTCATAATATTATAATTATTATTATTCTCCTTTTTCTTTTTTTCCTCTTCTTTTTCTCCTCCTCCTCCTCCTACTGCTTCTCTACTACTATCTATTATTTTCTTATTATTCCCCTTCATAATACATTTTTACCAATTTTTTTTTTTTTTTTTTTTTTTTTAGTATGAATAATTAGTGTAGTAATGTGGTTATCTGCTCATAGTTCAGAGTTACCCACACGTCAGCTAGCGGCCGAGTTACATGACTAACAGAACAAGTTGCGTGTGTGAGTGTGTGTGTGTGCTTGTGTGTGCATGTGTATGCTTGTGTATGCTTGTGTATGAATGTGTGTGTGCGTGCGATCGTGTGTGTGTGTGTGTGTGTGTGTGTGTGCGTATGTGCTCTATGTCCAAATAATCCATCCCACACATTAGCAGCTAAGTGGCCAATTACGGTGAACGAGGCTAGGCAATAGAACATCATAAGACTGAGGAACTTGCAAACGAAACACCTACACTGCATTTAATTGGCTAACAAATTGGAAACCCCTCTGGAAATATCCTATAAAGGTTTGGAAAATTAGATAACTGAGCAGAATAAGGAATAGAAGGTCAGCCACATAAGTATTGCCGACTGACTGATGGATGGATGGATGGAAGCGGGGTGGATGGGAGGATGGATAAATAGGTGGATGGATCGAGGAGGAGTGGATAGGGGGTGGATAGATGAGTGGATGGATAAATTGGTGGATGGATGGAGGAGGGGTAGATAGGCTGGTTGGTAATTTACGAATACCAACGGGTATAACACCTAAAGTGAAAATAAAGTGAATAAATTGAAGATATTATTTTTTCTAGATTGCCTGGAAACCGTAAAATAAAACGGCACACTAGTAAAAGAAGAGAGAGAGAGAGAGAGAGAGAGAGAGAGAGAGAGAGAGAGAGAGAGAGAGAGAGAGAGAGAGAGAGAGAGAGAGAGAGAGAGAGAGAGAGAGAGTGAGTGAGTGAGTGAGTGAGTGAGTGTGTGTATGTGTGTGTGTGAGAGAGAGAGAGAGAGAGAGAGAGAGAGGGAGAGAGAGAGAGAAAGTAAACATACCGATGAAAATGCTGTGCGTATTTGCCGTTACGAATCTTCCGCACAACACATGTTCGAATTCTTAGTTACGAAAACTTGGCTTGCATTTCGTGTTTCTACTCTCTTTATAAACTTATAGCAAAAGCTATGCCCTACATATTTTCAATTTATCTATATTTCAAAGCACAAGTTTCTTATTTTCGCTTTTGTTCTCATAACTGAAAATACGAAACAAAAAGAAATGCACCGGCATATTCTTTTGTGCATTTTATTTCTTGAGTTCATTGCTATTATATTCTTTTCTTTTTTTTTATTTTGTTTTCTTATTCATTTTAAATTATTTCCAATAAATGAAATCGCAACCCCAAAAAGTATGACCTAAAATACCTAATGTACAACTATAATGATGGTGTAATTTAAAATGAATCTTGATGATGAAATTTATTAATGTAAATATTAATTTTGGCACAGGTATTTCTATAGATATTCACATTTTACATATACACACGGATACCTATTTTTACATAAAACTGCAGTCATTTTTGCTCACACATAAACTATCATGAAATTACCGTCTTTTACATGTACACTTATACACACAAAAGTTATGTGTACTTGGGCATTAACGGACACATATATGTACACGTTCACATGATCGAAGTTTAAATTCCAGTGCTCTCTGTAGTTGTGACAAAATGAGACAAAAATATCTATTTGGTAATGACAAGGAGTTTACGTTATACCATGCACTGATTCCCTGAAAAACCCGCCATATCAACAGATATTTCGAAGCTAATTGCCAATTTCCCATTGATATCATGTTCAATACCTTTTCCCCGAAATAACTCGAATCATTAGATTCCCCTGTGCTTGCTTGCATTGCAATCGAACCACGAGTCCTTTTCCCATAAATGTTTAAATTATTTTGTTCTTAATTATCACGGACGGTAACTTAAACGTGGCGGGCATTCCCGTAGAATTTAAGGGGGAATAATCAGATGAATGGATATTTGGAAGGATGGATGAATAGGTAGAAAGATCGATAGATAAATAGATGGTTGGATAGGAGCAAAGCTGGATGGATGGATGGGTGGGAAGATAAATGGATAGATGAAGGAGGGTTGAATGGAAGGATGTATAAATGGGAGGAAAGATAGATATACACATGGATGGATGGAAGGTTGGATGGGAGGATGGATAGATGAAGGAAAAGATAGATAGACAGATGGATGAATTGATAGATGGATAGAAGATGAGATGGATGGGTGGAAAGATAGATAAATAGATGGATGGATGGGTGGAAAGATAGATAGATAGATAGATAGATGGATGGATGGATGGAAGAAAAGATGGATGGGTGGAGAGATAAATAGATGGATGGATGAATTGGGTTTGGATGGAAGGATGAACGGTTGGAAAGATGGATAGATGGATGAATAGACAGATAGACAGACAGACAGACAGACATATAGATTGATGGAAGGACGGGTATGAGAAAGACGGATGGATGAAAAGATGGATGAACGAAAACAAAAAAGAAAGAAGAAAATAGAGAGAAAACAGTAAACAAACGCATGCATAGACACATACTCTTTATGTTTGTATGAAAACGTGCTTTCCACCTACTGCTTCTACTCTGTTTTCACTCAAGCACAGATGACTTGCTTATCCATTAATCCTAGAGCAAAGATCGAAATTAAATTTGCAAACTTTGTGGGTGAGAACTTTAATCGTTAACTCTATTATTCTAATGAAATTTCTGAGTGATGATGAAAGTGGCCTTATATCTTATTCTTCTGAAGAAATAATAATTAAGATAGCTTTTCTCTTCCAATATTGGTATTAATAATAGATATGGTATTACTATTCGTCTTTGTTGTTATTATTCACCATTTCTTAATGTGCTGTTGTGATTATTATCATTATTATCATTATTATTATTATTATCAATATTATTATTATCATTATCATCATTTTCATCATTATTATTATTATTATCAATATTATTATTATTATCATTATCATCATTATTATCATTATTATTATTACTATCATTATTATTACCATTGTTGTTGTTAGCATTATTATAAACATCATCAACACTATTATTGATGCCGTTATCATTATTATCATTGTTACTATTATTATCATTGTATAATTTCAATCGTTATCCTTATTAATATTATCATTATTATCATTATTATCACTTTCATTACTAACATTATTATTATTATTGTTTTTGTTATTGTTGTTCTTGTTCTTGTTATTCTAGTCGTCTTGTTCTTTTTATCATTATCAGTATTATTGCATCAACTTTTACCATTATTATCATTATTATTATCATATCATCATCACCATTATTATCATTATTATTATCCTTTGTGTTGTTATTGTACAAGTACTATTATTATTATTAGATTATTATTATTATTGTTATTATTATCATTACTATTATTATTATTATTATTATTATTATTGTTATCATTATTAATATTATTATTATCATTATTATTATTATTATTATTATTATTATTATTATTATTATTATCATTATTATTATTATTATTATTATTATCATCATTATTATCATTATTATTATTATTGTTATTATTATTATTATTATTATTATTATTGTTATTATTATTATTATTATTATTATAATCATTATCATTATTATCATCATCATCATCATCCTCATTATTTCTATTATTGTTGTTGTTGCAGTTGCAGTTGCATTATCTTTACTATTATTGTCCGTATTGCTATTTTTCATTATTATTATTATTAGATTATTATCATTATCATTATTATTATTATTATTATTATTATTATTATTATTATTATTATTATTATTGTTGTTGTTGTTATTATTATTATTGTTATTAGTATCATTGTTATTATTATTATTATTATTATTATT